ACTTTACCCTTGTGGTATGAAAATAGCAAATTCTCCGGTCTTCAAACTGGGACCCCGGAAGGCAGATTCCGGAGTCAGGTCCGAATTTGACAGAATTAATGGATCTCCAGATTTTCACACATTTCGGGCTCATAGTATAATCTGGATCTTTACATGGAGTGGAATCTATTAGTTATGTTTCAGTGAAAATACGTTCAGTTCCGTCCTTTGCTACGTTCACATGCTAACACACAGATGCGTGTGTTATTCGTTTATTCATTCATCAATGGCGCTACAGCCCTTTGTTGGGCCCTGGCCTCTTCTTCAGTTCCGTAATTTTTAATGGTGAAAATGTTATTATGAGAGGGTGCAAATGGAGGTAGCCATCAGTGACACTAAGCGCAACAATTGTGCAACCTCTTATGTAACCGCTGATAACTCAAAACCTATGGCGTATCGTATATTAAGAGTTATAAGTAAATCAAAGAATAGAGACTAATCTATCCAAAAATTATGCTTATTTTATTCCCAAAATAAAATTGTAGATTGTTTAAATAATTACCCAAAACATGTAATAATTTCCCTAATTTTATAGATTTTCAACCGGCTGCCAAGCGTAAACCGTAAGGGAAGGATCAGGACATATTGCGAGTGAAATGCATTAATGAATGTGAGCTTCTCAAAAATGCAATCCGTTTTGGTCCATCTCTTGCGGTTTAGGAGTTATGACAATTTGTTTGTAACAAATGCGGCTAATTCAATTCCTCTATTTAGTGGATGACGCAACACTATGGGCAACTCTTGGGGTAATTTCAATAAATAATATACTGTACATATAGTAATGTTTCAATAAAGTTTCAATTCGAATTTTCAAAGTATATTTATTCCAATACAAATAGCAATTTAATAACGCTTTCAGCGCTAATCTTGAGAACTAAGATTCCCCAGTCATTTTTTACACAGATGGTAGGACTTCTTGGACAAGTGATCAGTATTATTATAAACATTAGTTTTCAACTTCTTCTTCGTGTTTCTGAATTAAACCTAACGCGTTGCCAAAACGGGCACGGTACGGCGAAGTTGTCCCTGGTCTTAATAAAACATAACGCCATGAAAGTGGGTGGAGGAGTCTGTATTATTTTAAAAATACTGCCTGACTAAACTATGGATATGATAAATGCAAAGAAGAGAGAAAAGAAGAAAGACGAACGACAGTAAAAATGACAGACCGCCATATTCTCCCACTAATTTTTAAATCTCTGTGTACGATTAAACAGAAAATAATTCATTCCAACATGTCTGCCATGGCCGACCGTATTTTTATTATGATTAATGGTTTTAGAGACACGACAAAGTAGTTTTGGGGGTTTATTTGTAAATTTTCACAAGGCTCGTATGTGTTTATTCCTCGCCGCTCCTGGAAGTGATGAAATCAATAAAGATGAGATGAGCTGGACATACAACATACATGGGAAGTTTTTCAGTGACAAAAGACTTTTCTATTGAACATCACTACAGTTTCACGAAATCAGTTCTGATTAATTTTCTTTCTCTACATAAAAATGATAAATTTCTGACAACACATATTAGTTCACATGCCGTCATGCATAACTTGTAACTGTGAGCGTTCAACGTGACTTTGACACGTCTCCTCGATTTCAGTGGGGCACGAGGTAGAGTAGTTGGTTGAGGCAGTATACTACAGGCCGGAAGGTCGCGGGTTCTAATCCCGATGAGGTCATTGGATTTTTCAATTGACCTAAACCTTCCAGCCCCACTATGGCACTTGGGAAGACTCAGCCTCTAACAGAATTGAGTACCAGGAATCTTCCGGGATGTAAATGGAGGCCGGGCCGTAAGGCTGACAATCTTACCACCATCTGTAAGCAGACTCTCTAGAAAATGTGGGAGCCTCAACGTCTCAAAACCCTATGGGCCTCCAAGGCCTGTTACAGGGATAGCTTTACCTTTGATTTCAGTATCATATCGGCCTACCAGCTTTCATTTTGATGTCTCTTAACCTGAATAATGCACAGAACTAGAAGCCTTGATTCTGACTTCTCTTTGATTTTAACAGTATACGTACAGGGATATAATAACCTTTAATTCCTACCTATTACCGCTTCTACACGTGCGTTACCACTGCACTGTGCGAGGTGCAGCATGGGTAGTTTCTAGGAGAACACGACAAGGTTGAAAACTGAGCTGCAACAATTTTCATTGTTGGATGCGGTAAATAGAGGATTAAGATTTGTCAACATTACTCATTATTTCGTCTGTATTTGGCCCTGCACTAGGAGAAAACGCATTAACTCCATAATGGATCCGGCCTTCCAAAATTTGAAGCAGATATATTACAATCAATCGGGCTGGTTCATTCTTCCATTGTTTTATCTCTTTTGTCGCTCTATTTGGTCATTGATATTCATACTGATGAATTTAATATACACTTTCGAGATAGTGTATATGTCACCGTTGTTGTGACAGCCAAATCCTGTTGTCATTAAGGTACATCCTTGCAATACGGTGACCAGATGCCTTAGGCAATTTAGAACGCTTTGCATTAGGCTGTGTACTGGTGCATAAAACGAAAGTTCAACGGCAGGTTACACCAGACAGTTTCAATTGTTTATGTTATGAATATTACAGTAATGCATATGTGGCAGCGAACGCTTGCTGTTCTGCAGTTACCGTATATGTGCTGTGTGTGGTTTTGTGACAGAAGACTGCAACGTTGACAGCAGTTATGAACACGAACAGAAGATTGCAGCAATAAACGGAACTGGGAAATATGTTTGCGTTGCCGATATTTGCAAAAAGTTTGCTAAGTTTATCTTAGTATCACGTACGCCACAATTTTTGGAAATCTGTAATTAAGATGTATTACGCACTGCTTTAGTGAAGATTAGGTATTTTTGGCTAAGTTTATCTCTGTAGGAAAAAAAGATTCACATTCGCAGAAAACATCTCAAACATATTATAAACTCAACAATTTCCCATTTAATTTTCAACGGGTTTTGTATTCGTTGTAAAAAGAAATCTTAGCTGAGCCGCAGGTGGACATATGTCCACCATTTATAACGATTTTGAAAATTCGTGATTTTCATACTTGTTGTCCACGTGTCTCTGGTTGGATCTCCTAATTGGAGACAGTTTGAATCAACTGCCTATTATTTTCAAATACAAAGGACTAGAACACTTCTCCGCTGGCAGAACAAAATTATGCACCACCGTGCAATAACGACCTTGACCTTAGGTTACGATCATGAACCAATTTCAGCCATACATTCCAAACTTTCCTCAGCATTTATAATAGTCATTTTTCCCAACACACCTCCTTAAAAAATGTACATTTTAATAACTATTTTAGTAATCGTATATTAATTAACTAGCCGCCATTTCATGTAAAATGTTTAATTTCGCGATAATTCACTGACGATAAATGGTGTATTAGAAATTATTCATCTTCTGACAGAAGTTAATTTTAACGCTGTTAAGTTAAAAACAGCAAAGCTAATTAAAAATTCGCAGTTTAAAAACAGACGATCTCCGCGTTTCATATTGCTTACCTTTCGTTTTAAATTGCTTACGAAAAATTGACCTTTGTTTAGCATAGGACAGGTATGAGACTAAGTTCATTGGTACTGCGGCCTCGAATGGTGATTGATGAGTACGGAAAAATGCAGAAATGATCATTTGCAGAGAAAAAACGATGTGCTACGAGAAAAACCTGCAGCGATGTCACTTTTTGCACTCAAAGTCCCATATGAACTATCTTGGGACTCAACCCTGTCCTCAGCGCTAAGAGTCCAGTGACCAGCGGACTAAGTTGTGGCACAGAGAAGACCTAAGTACGTCTATTTCTCAGCCATCAAAATTAAGCTTTTTGATTTAAGTATATTAGCTTGGTATTTTGGGGAGCCCAGTTTCGAAACCCTACACCAGCCTTTACTAGTTACATCACAAACCGTAGGCAAACAGAAGCATATATATATAAAGTAGTTATAGTAAAAAACAAGAATAAAATTCTTAGATTGATGTTTTACATCATCGAGGCAGTCGTTGGTTTTGTAATTACTTCTGTTTTATATAATCTAATTTATTGTATTTTTACGTCAAGTATTTTTTATATAATTAATAATATTGTATCCAATTTTACTAGTACTGCGGTTCAGTGGTGTATATATGTTATCATCCAATTTTACTAGTACTGCGGTTCAGTGGTGTATATATGTTAACCATGTATTTGCCTGATGATGGCTACTAATAGTTGAAACATGTAGCGAGCCGAAACCAGGCACTGATCTTGATATTAGTTGTGTTGTGACGGTTATAATACAGAGGTTGTTAGCTGTATATGTTGCTTGGTAAAATATGATATGGGAATATATTATGGAATTTCAGTAGGTTAGGGTTAGGAAGGAGGAGGTCACGGCCTATTTCAAGATATTATTCTTGTATTAATCTGGAGACTGAGGACTACGAAAATTCTCGATCAGAGGGATGAGCAATCAAGCCTAAAACAGCATCCTCAGAATACATACTTCGAGCATTCCCGCTACATGCTACTCGGTAATGACATCTTAGAATTGGTGAGTGACCCGATCGGGTAGTCAGCAGTACTTATTCAGTTGCGTACAGCATTTGACCCCGACATTAGCTATTCCGTGAAGTTTTCGCTATAATAAAACACGGTATCCTCGTTCTACATCCCTTCCAATTTACCATTCACATATCACATTACCATTCGATCCTAAATAACCAGCGAAATTAAATTGTCGTGTTTAGATAACGTCCATGACCCTTCTAATCTACACCGACCGAGAAGTCGAAAGACAAGTGACAGAAAGTCTGAACCTACAGATGGTAAATTAAATCCACGATTCCCAGACAAAGTCCTTTGTTTCTTTATTGTTTCAACACATGCATCAAAAGTGCGTAGTTTTTCTTGTCAAGAAATACGGCATACGTAATGCACCTCAAATGCAGCGGTATTTGTTTTGTGTTCACTCTGTACTCACCGTTTGCAGACACTGCGCGCGACATTGGGCGACCCTCAAGGGCGAACCGATTGCTTCTTCACCGCTGATGAAGGTCCCTGAAGATCCCGACAACAGCACCGGCCACCACACGGACACTACAGCCGCGATAAACTCGTACAGATTGATTTTCCTTTCCATTGTTACAAATGTCCACACAGACCTACACGTAACAGTAAATTCTACCACCGTACACAGATATCACACAAGTCTATAACGGGAGCAATTGAAAGCAACCAGTCGTACTTCCAAATCTAATGTCAAAACTAAACAAATGTATAATTCGCCTTTTCCCTGAATTTGTATTCTTTGGCAAATGGTTTTATAGATGGAAAATATCACGCCTTACAAAGGCAACAGTATTATCGCAATACGAACAAGTTATATAAATGCTGAAAATAATAGGTTAGAAATGTTTCTAATTATGTACTTATTTTGAAGAGCATAGTGTAGATTCAAACAACAATTTTATTCCTTACTACCAAGTTAAACGGTATGCACTGGTCATATGTTAATTGTAAAGCATGACTGACCCCACTAGTAAAACTTTTTACTATAATCAGATATCCAACAATAACCGGGTATAAATATTATATTTTTCACTTTGTTAAGGCATTATAAAATGCGGTAGAAGTACTTTTTGTTCACTGAAAACAAAAATCCACGTGCAAATATTACTTCAAAGCACAGATTATATCATTACATGTGTTTTGTTGCCTACAGCCTTTCCAGTGATGCTGTCGTCACTACGTATCCGTCATCTGATGCGATTTTTCCTCTGTGCATTCAATAACCACTTGGTGAAACACTGGAATATCTTGGCGTGTTGGAACCGTGCACTACTTGCGCGCCGGCAGCTCACACACCGCTCTGCGCGAGTGCTGGATCACTACTGAACCGCAGTACCAGCGTCACAACGGGGGCCGGGAACAGACCGCCCAATCACAATGGATCCCCCAATAGCCGGCATCAGCCAGCGGAAGAAGGCCGGATTATTCCCTCTCTACCGCCGAAAAATGTTTCAAACGCCCGCCATGTTCCTAAGCCGTCCTGTAGTACACACAGAGACATCTAACGCATACTCGTGAAATTATATGACATTCATCTGTTTTTCTTAAGTGTAATCTCAGGCCAAGTCTTTGCGTTGCAGACTCAGAGTTATAAGTTCAGAACCTTAAACAGCTGTTCTTTTGTTAACGTTAACATTACATTGCTATTCATTTTGGGATTTAAAGAAGAGAGGCGAAAATATTAACACAAAAGTGCCCGTACATGTCAGTGATTACGGCTCTTAATTGATTTACCTCATTCCGTATTAACGACTGTTGTTCTTTCATTGTTAACCTATAGCATCATTTTCAGTTTTACAACAGGATGCATTGTGCAGGCATCCGAGAGCCTTCATCTATCCGTCAGTCTACTTCCCTGCTCATACAAAAGGCCTGTCTGTTTATATCTATCTTCTTATTTGTCTGTCTCACTCTCCACTTACTTAACGTCAATGTTTCTCTCTTCCACAAAAGAACTAGCAGGCACATGCCTGTCCGTGCTTTCAGCGCAGTAGGTCTGACAGCCAGCCTACCAAACACGTTGGCTAGGGCGGTAACGCTGCTGACTTGTAATCGGGATATCCCCAGTTCGAATTTCGGCCGGGACACCGTCTCTTCCGTCTGACGTTTTCCATGAGTTTCGTAAGTCCATCTAGAAGGGTACCGTGAAACTAGCTTCAAATGGCTCACCCTTTCAAATTCATTGTTCATTAATATTAGTCAACCTATCATTCATGCATTTTTTTATTGTTATTCTTAGAGGGGTGAGAGTGAGCCACTTGGTACTGCGGCCACTACTGGCTTAATGTACCTGCCCCAGATGATAGATGATGGTTATTACTGAGCAATTGGTGGAATGAAGATTGGCAGGGAAACCGGAGTACTCGGGGAAAATTTGCCCCATTGCCACTTTGTCCACCACAAAATCCACCTGATCAGATCCAGGCGCGAACCCGGGCCGCAGCTGTTGGAAGCCAGCGGCTAACTGCCTGAGCTCTTCCGTGCTACATAGTATGAGTTAATATGAGCACCGATAAATAAACCACAAATACTCGTAGAAACAACCAAGCAACGATCGGGATTAATGCAAGAATGGATACATATATTTATTTGCATTTTTTATTTGTTTTGTAGTTTATATCAGTAGTCTATACACGGGGAGAGCCGTTCACAGTAGCCGCGAGGTCTGAGTCATGAACTGTTTTCGCTCACTCGGACGCTGTGATCGTGGGTTTGAATCCCACTTAAGGCATTGATGTTTGGTGTGTGTATGCTTTTATTCTGTGTTTGTGTTGTCCTGTGTTTAGATAGCGGCCTTGTGTGGGGCTGATCACTTGTTCAAGGACTCCTATCGTCTTTGAAAAATGATTACGGAACTAGATAAGAGGCCTGGGCCCCGAATGGCCTGGAAGAGCCATGGAGGAATATGTACAGGGGGGGGGGGAATGTTACGCGTAGAAAATTTTGCTCTGAATATAAGGAGGAAAGCGGTCTCTTGTAGGTTGAAGAAAACCGCATAATGAGGAAGCTACATAAAGTTTACTTTTCTCCGAGTATAATTAGTGAGATCGAGTCAAGGAAGATGAGATGGGCAGGGCGTATAGTACGAATTGGGACGAAACGGAATGCTTATAGGCTTTCCGTGGGAAAGCCAGAAGGAAAGAGATCACTAGGAGGACGTAGACGTAGGTAGGAGGTTAATAGCAAAATAGAACTTTGAGAGATAGGGTGTGGTGCTATGCACTGGATTAATCTGGCTTAGGATAAGGACCAGTGAAGGGTAATGAACATTTGGCTTCCGTAAACGTTAGTCAGTTCTTCAGTAGGTACGCAACTGGCGGCTTCTCAAGAAGGGCTCAGCTGCATAGAGCTTACCCGTAGATTAGAAAACAACATTGATGTGCCCCCTTGAGAAACTGCGTGGAGAGGTATGGACTGCATTCGTTGGGCTTCAGGCGGAGTCAAGTACTGGGCTTTTGTACACACGGTAATAAATGGAAATTTCTTAACCAGATGTGCGATTATCAATTTTTTAAGGATGCATCAGCAACATAAATTTATTTGTAAGTTTTGAGGTTTTCACGGCGATGACTGTAAAGAAAGCCGTCTTCTGGGTTTAGGCGCCGTGCATTCTTCGTTTTGGCCGACGTTTCGGAGGAACGTATCGCCTCCATCTTCAGAGCAGGTGAATGGCTTGGAATGCAGAGAGCAGTAGTAGCTACTGCTCTCTGCATTCCAAACCATTCACCTGCTCTGAAGATGGAGGCGATACGTTCCTCCGAAACGTCGGCCAAAACGAAGAATGCACGGCGCCTAAACCCAGAAGACGACTTTCTTCATAAATTTATTTGTTTATATTTTTATCTATAGGAAAGGTAAAGCTATCCTAGTAACAGGCCATGGAGGCCCATAGAATTGTGAGACGTCGAGAATCCAACGTTTTCTAGATAACCGGCTCACAGTTGAAGGTGAGGTTGTCAGCCTTACCCGCCGGCCATCCTTTACTCCCCAGTAAGACTCCTGGTACTCATTTCTGTTAGAGGTTAGTCGACCCCAGGGCACATAGTACGGCTGGAAGGTTTAGGTCAATTGAAAAATCCAGTGTCCTCATCGCGAATCAAACTCATGACCTTCAGGCTTGTAGCATAGTGCCTCAACCAACTACGCTACCGTGTCTCATATATTTGTTTATCAATTCGTTTATTTACTCAGTACTGAGCAAGTTGGTAAGTTCAGCCGTAATTGGTAAGTTCTCGTTTCGAATCTTGGTCCTGACTCAAATTATCTTGGCTGAAGTTATACGTGATTTGCCTCAATCCGTCCAGGAAAATACAGGGATAGTACCTTCAGATAGGCTACGACCTCTTCCTTCCGCGGCCTTCCAATTAATTATTGTATTCATTCCATCATATTACGCTATGCAGTCTGAGTTAGTGGCAACGTCTTCAGATAAATTACGGATAACTAAAATGGTTAATTACCTAGATAGCTAGCTAGTTGCGCAGCTCACTAACTCTAATTTTTATGTTCATTTTACAGTGTAAAATATCAGGTTCAATATCATTATGACAGAGAATTTTCAATCATCTACGGAGTTTTTCTAGTATACACGCCCAAATAAACCTATACAGCTACATTTAAAAAATTATGTTTAGAGTACTGCCTCAATAATTGTATATCATTATAATTTCATAAAATGGAGGTTGACTTTTCGTCGTTGATATTCAGGCAATGACGGTGAATGGACAATTAAACCAAAAACAGAATATTAACTAAAAACAAAATAATCTGAACAAACTGAGATGCGTTGCATGTGACTCACTGTTCAAGATAACCTTTGGCGCTCAACTGACCAGTCACGGAGGGGAAACTGTAAAACAGGCCTAGGTAAAAGCAACGGTGTGCTACAGATTCGAACACAAAGTTATGTTTCTTGTTCTTTTTTTTAGTTTCATGGAGTGGGGTGAGTCTGAATCCGCTTAGCACGTTTGGGAAACCGAAGTCCTCGGAGGAAACCTGCTCCATTTCCACTTTGTCCACCACAAATCCTACATGACTTGATCGTGAATCGAACCCAGGCCGTCGTAGTGAGAAGCTGGCGAATATGAGCCTGACCTATGTCACTGCCCCTTCCAACCACAGAAAAACAGAGAGAAGGAACACTACATGAAAACACGCTCCTTGACGCTGACAAGGGCAACAGCGGAAATTTAGTATGTTTTATGCTGTTTAAATGTGCTACCTCAGCTACCAAATTTAGGGCTATACAGCGTTAATTGAGGTGTAAATATAATTGTGAGTAGTGAATAGATAAGGAAATGAAAGAAGAAGGCCATACCTTTTGGATGGTACTTTCTCGGCATAAAATCTCATGAAGCGAGAAATATCGCCGAGATTCGATTTCTGTACCTGAGGAATATAAGTCTAGAACGTGACTTCTGCAAGATCAGAAGTATGTAAACTGTTCTCGTGTGCCATGTGCCGAATTCCCACATGCATATCTCAAGACGCTACTTCATTTTCTGGCACTGACACGCGGTTATTGCAGGGAAATAAACCAACAATACAGATAATACAATACACGGGCATAAATTGGCTTTCAGATAAAATGTGTTGTTGCGCATTTTTCCCATGCAAGAACTGTTGAGCCACACAATCAACCGTTTCTAAATTATACGCGCACCAACAAAGCAACAGCGGAGTTATGAAAACCGTTTCTAGGCTACAGTTTGGTAAATACAATTCCTCGTAGTCACTGCCGTCACACAACAGTTGATATAGACCATGTGACGTGTTTTCTGTAGGTCCGAGTCGAAGAATTACAGGGGAAACAAAGGTCATTTTCAGGCAGGTGTAAGGTGGAAGAGCGAAGTAGAAGGCAGTTGAGAGTACAAGGAGGAGAATGGAGCGTGTCCTTAGTGAATTGTGAAGATTAATCGAGTACAGATTAGGACAGAGGAGTACAGAGTGACTGAAGCGAAGCAGACTTCATAGTGATTTGAAGTGATAATTTCTGTGTTGAGATCCATTGTTAGGAGACGATTAAGTGGAAACAGAGGATTATAGTGCATGTGTAACAGTGAGTTATAAAGTGCAGAAACAGCGAGAGCGCTGAACTAATTGTAATTAAGAGAGAGAGCGTAATCAAAGTGCTAATAAATCTAATCATCTGAAACAGAACCCGTTAATTTTGTCACTCTTACCACCATAAGCGTGACAATATGCATTTTAATTAGAAGTAAATGTAAGCACTAAAGTGTTTTGTGTAAATTTCATGTCAATTTTACTGTGAGCCATTTTTAAACTATTTAAACTAAGGGTAGAGTAGT